TGGGCCCTAAAAATAATCCCAAGGAAAACAATAGGGCCTTCGCCCTTTCAGGGCTTGGGCCCTAATAATCCTAAGGAAAACAATAGGGCCTTCGCCCTTTCAGGGCTTGGGCCCTAATAAGACAACAATAACAACATTAAATCAAATCAAATAAATAAATAAAATAAAATGTACTGCCGCACAACACATTTAAATCATCTATCACAATTACCCGGTGTTAAAAGCCAGAGTAAAAAGATGGGTTTTAAGCATAGGGTGACCAACTGTCCTGTTTTCCCAGGACATGTCCTGTTTTCATATAACAATATAACAATGTTCTATCCATACAGAGGAGGCATAACCGACTTTAAATGTATTGAAATTAATAAGGTATCTTTGAGTAAACTTCGAATATCATTTGAGTTGGCCCATGTGTTTGCTGGGCCGAGTGTCCTGGTTTTTGGTAATCAAAATATGGTCACCCTATTTAAGCAGAGATTTAAAATGAGACCGAGAGGAGGCTTGCCTAATATGCAGTGGCAAAGCATTCCACAGTTTTGGAGCTGCAAAAGCAAAGGCTCGTTCTCCTCTAAGTTTTAGCCTAGTTTTAGGTACTATCAGGAGCAACTGATCAGCAGACCTGAGAGAGCGGCTGGGAGTGTACTCAGTGAGGTACGGTGGGGCAAGGCCATTTAAGGCTTTAAAAGCAAATAAAAGGAGTTTAAAATGAATCCTAAGGGATCGTTCGGTATTTATGGAAAGGTCCACCGGAGGAAAATAGGGGAGGGTCATGTCTTTTCATTCTTTGATATCGGGGAGGGTCATCCAACTTTTTTAGTCTATAGGGGAGGGTCATCCAACTTTTGTATTCATCAAAACAGGTAAATTTCAAAGTGGCTTGTTTGGTTTATATTTTTTTCCATGTAGCTCCATGAAGCTTTCTCGGTCTCGGCCCCGGGGCCATCGCTGTCAGATGGGTCTGATCCAACAAAAATCCGAGTAGCGCTGTTTGACAGTCCGCGTGCGTTTCAGTACGTGCTCAGAAAAAGTGCATTAGAACAGAACGGCAAAGAAATGTTTACCCGGCAAAGCTTTAAAGCACGAACAAATAATGAACTTTTGTTATTGTGAATAAGTGCATTGTCCTGTGTGTGTAACTCTACCGCTGCATTAACATATGATGTGAATGTACGTCAAGTGTATTGGGACTGAGGCGCCCGAACTGCAGCTGATATAATATGCGCTGTAGCACGATACGACCATATTTTAGATTCCATTCTTATTGTGTTTCCAGAACAGTGTTAGTGAGTAAATCTGAGCTGTAGTCTTGAATTTGTGAGGTGTGTGCGCTATGCGGTTGAATGAGCCGGTTTGTCGATCTATATGAATTTTGATCAATCAGGAGCTGATGTAATCCACAGAAGAAAGACAAATAATTTGCTTATGATACGGTGCTAAAGAACCTAGATCTAGGTCTCAGATATACCACTACCGCTAAAGACCATGACTTCTGTCTTTTTTTCATTAAAATTAAAAAAATTAAGAGACAAAGCCTTAATGTCCTTAATGTCATGACATTAATAAGCCCTTATTGTCATGTAAACACTCTAGCAATGGCTTAACACAATAGGAGTCAGACTTACTGAGAGGGACATAGATCTGACTGTCATCTGCATAGCAATGAAAGTAAATACCATGCTTTCTGAGAATTGAACCAAGAGGGAAAATAAGAGAGGGCCAAGCACAGAACCCTGTGGCACCCCTGTGACAGGGGAGCAACGGAGGAAACATAGTCAGCAAGGCCAACACAGAAAGCTCTCTGGGACAAGTAGGACCTGAACCATTCTAACGCTGTGCCAGTAATGCCACAGTGACCCGAGTCAGTAGCTAAAAAGATGTCATTAAAAGTGCTGATTCAGTGCTATGTAGTGTTTTAAAACCGGATTGGAAAATCTCAATTATATTATGTTTATTTATAAAATCCATGAGCTGGAAATAGACAATCTTTTGCAGGATGTTTTCATTCCCTTAGAGCTATATTCCACACTACATGAACAGTCATTTTCAAAAATCCATGATAGGTGCTCTTTAAATACGTATAATTTTTATTTGAATATGCTTTAAGTTTATTACACCTATGGGCTGTAAAAAAAGTGTTGTAGATAAGACAGAGAATTGTAGTTAAGGGTTTAAAATGCAGCATGTTTTCTATTGCATTTAATTAAAATGAACGGCCTGGTTGTTGGACCCCTGGTTCCAATCTGAACCGGTTTTAAGGATCTCGGTCTTGACTCTGAACTCCTGATGCTGAAGAGAATTATATTGTTTCTTTATTTTTAAAAGACCCATTCAGATGGGAACCATTGACAAAACAATTAGTGAAGAGATCTAATGCTTCACAGAGCACTCATAACTCATGACATCGGGGTCAGCAACATGGGACTGGATGCACACACAATCAAATGCTTGATTAAAGCACAATCTGTGTCTGTCTAGAAACTGTGATGGTGGATGAACCATACAGAGGTCCGGAGAAATGAGATGAATGTTAACAATGACACACTGATATGTTGTAAATACTGCTATTGCTGATCAATTAGAACAAGAGGAATATTCAAGATGCTCCACATGAATGATTGCATTATTATGTGATGGAGCAGTACAGGTTTAAAACACAAGCCCAAGTTCTTTTACTTAAACGTTACGTCTTTTACGTAAAATATTCTGAAAACAGCTTTAATTCGTATCTGAGTGTTGTTAGATTTTTGTGTAGCCAAGCAGTGATTTGGGTGGCTCACCAATGTATTAGATTTCTCCAATTGCCCTTCAGATACAACACGATTTGCGCTATGCCAGCACAAAGTAGGCAGAGTTTTCAAAACCTTTAGCGGGATTTCTATACATCTAGCGTTAGTTATTTTGATTATTGTTCCTCCTTTCGGTCAGCAGAAAACTATGTATCTGTCCCCTGCTAAGATAACACAGTCTCATCCCAAAAAGTCATATAACTGACGTCTTGGGGCGTATTTTGACCATACGTCAATATCCGCCTTTTTAGGGCCCCCTTAAACGTCGGTAGATGGCGATCCCGGGCCGTCATACAACTGACGCTTTACCTTTAACGTCAGTTAGGTGACGGGTTAGGTTTAGGGTTAGGTTTAGGTATGGGGTAGAGTTAGGATCCCATAACCTCATCTACCGACGTTTAAGGGGGCCCTAAAAAGGCAAATATTGACGTATGGTCAAAAGACTTCCCAAAACGTCAGTTATATGACGTCTTGGGATGAGACCGGGTTGGCTAAGAAGTGGGCGATAGTCCTGCTAGTGATAAGAATAGAGAGCAGCAATTTGGGGATTTCAGGCTTGAGAAGGAGCTCCGTTTCCACAGCAGTGGAAATTGTTCCCTATAAGACCTTAAACTTGTATCGTAGCCTACACCTCCTCAGGAAATTCTGACACAAACAGTGCTAGCTGTTCATCCATTTTGATTTCTGTGCTTGTTTGGATGCCCCGTTTCTATTGGCAGCGCTGGGAACCATCACAGAGCACAGCGGAAAAACTATTTTGAACTTTGACCGCTAGAAACTGATAACGGTCAGATTAGTATCATTTGAACCATGCCAGTGCCATTCCAGTCTATTCAAAAGAATGTTGTGGTCAACAGTATTAAATGCAGCAATAAGATCCAGTAACAATAAAAGAGAGATGGGATGATAAAAATCAAATAATTTGTAACTGTAATGGGAAAAGTCTCAATATCATGATATGGTCTAAATCCTGATTGGTAATCTTTGCAGCTACCATTTCTTTCTAAAAAGGAACATAGTTGTGAGGGCACTGCATTTTCTAGTATATTTGACAGAAAGAGTTAGATTTGAGATTGCCCTGTAATTAATTAATTCTGTTCGATAAAGTTGCGTTTTTTTAATAAGTGGTTAAATAATAGCCAGCTTAAAAGTTTTCGGTACGCATCTTAAAGACAAATAGGAATTAATTATATTAAGAAGAGGATCTATGACCTCTGCAAACATTTATTTCATTAGCTTAGTCGGTATAGGGTTTAAAATACATGTTTATTTTCATTATTTAAAGAGTTTAGACAATTCTTCCTCTCCTATAGCGATTAATGAATTAAAATTTACATTGGGGACACTACAATGCACTGTCTGATTAGTTAATGTGCATCAAATAATACCTAAGGTTGTGTTCGCTTTCTACTTAGAGGGCCCGAGTGTGCTCATTTTACCACTGCATTTCGACTATTTTCTTTAAGCGCAGTGGAACAACTAAGAGATTGTCAATAGGTTTGGTTGCAACAAGTTCTTCTTAACTACCTGGGTTGCTGAGGAGAAACTGATCAGGAAGATTATTTATAAAGCAATCTTTAGTGGTAGAGTGATAGTTCTACCATATTTGTAACAGGGAGTCGGCTTTGCAGCCTTGGCTAAATGAAGTTTTCACGAAACTAGAAAATTATCTGAGATCCACACTGCTGCAGAATTTCAATGGCATCCACATTTATTCCATGTGAAAATATTAGACCTAAAGTATAGTCACGACAATGAGTGGGTCCTGACACGTGTTTAACTCCAAAAGAGTTTCTCTAAACGACAATCCTAATATGTCCCTTTCAATATCTACATGGATATTAAAATCACTAACAATTAGGGCTTCTGCAGCCTGTACTAACTACATGTTGCATTATGGATAAATTCATCAGACAATTAGCAGACTACGCCACGATGGGACTTGCACCCAAAGAATTAAGCATTTGGTTCAACCAGGCACTCAAGTTCGTTGATGGATAGCCAGAGACAGTGGTTCAGTACAAAAATAGTATTTTTATTTTTCACATTTAAACTCAATGAACACACTCAAGAGAGGAGGGCAATAGAGCGGAATCTTACCAGTGGGAAGCTAGTGACTCAAGCAAGGAGCGTCCATGAAAACACCCCATTCACACGTGTCAAATTTCACACACACACCATAAGAGAAAGGACCACACTTGGTGAACACACAGCCACAGCCACAGCGGGACCCGCCACCACAAGGGGCACTGCTCCCACTGGCAGTTCTCAGCACCTGGACAATGGACAGACATGTGGAAGTTAAACAAAATTAGACAGATTACAGGCCAATCCTCTTGGATATAAACAGCAAGAAAAGGCCTCCATACAAGAGTAAAAAATAAATAAAAAAAACATTAATGTGATGTCAGTCCATCAAACACTCTACACTTAAGCACTGATTCACAACAGAGACGGGAAGGAGAATCAAACTATCTTAAACAGGCAACGATATAACATGCTAGCCAGCCGCCTGTTAACTTGAGCTAATAATCGAGTTCAATACTCCTTGGCCGCACGTGAACAAGGCAGCCGGGTACAACGTAACTTTAAATCCATGTAACGTGAAAAGTATAAGCAAAGCAGGAGATGTTCAACGTCGATCTAGCCAACTTGCGGCCGCACCCCCGGTTAAATAGCACTCCCTAAAATGCACAGGATGTCAATTTACAAATATTTCCCACATTAACCATTCAACTACTCAGTATAGCAACATACCTATGATTATCACAGGCCCTGAGCTCTGATTGCAGGGCACACACTCAGCTGATGAAAGGGCTGCTGCCGCACCATGGATCCTATAGCACAGGGGTGCCCAACCCTGCTCCTGCCGATCGACTGTCCTACACAGTTTATCTACAACCCTAATCAAACACACCTGAAGCAACCAATTAAGGTCTTCAGGTTCACGTGAAAATTAAAGGCAGGTGTGTTTGATTAGGGTTGTAGATTAACTGTGTAGGACAGTCGATCGGCAGGAGCAGGGTTGGGCACCCCTGCTATAGCACAAAACATTCCCTTTAAGCCCAAGCTATAGGGATGGCTGACGTGAAACAGACGTTCCGAAGCTTTGCGAGATCCCGAAGCAAAAATGATTCGAAACACTGATCCGAAGCGTGATTCAAAACACCCACAGTCACGTGACAAAGGCTAAATGAAGCTTCTAAGTGTTTCATCAGGTGGAGTGCTCCGCCGAATCAGGGTTTGATTGATAGGTCGGTCGGGAAGGAACGCGTGAGCAAAGTGCACACAGAATGCCTATTCTTAAAGTCTTGTGGTGTTTTATGAAGGCAAAAACCCATATAATGGTTTCGATTTAAGTTAATTGGCAAAATATAACGCTAGAGACAATGTTAGTTTATACTTTTTACATCTCATGTTCGGCAAAAGCCAGGCTCGAACTCGAGCACATTAATCGTTCTTTCAAGAACTATGCGCTCTACGATCTACGCCACAGTAGCTATTCGTGATAGGCCTGTTTTTGCTTAAAACACCCTCCCTCCCCCATACACACACACATATATATATATATATCTCAGTGGAGATTTCTTTAAGACTGCAAGGGAAGCTCAGCTAATGTCAAACAAATAATGATCAAATGTGTACTATTCTGTTAACATTTTAATGAGTAAAAATGCGTTAGAACACGGTAATCTCGAAGACGAGTTCGTTCAGAATAAGCAACAAATAGCAGGTTGGCTGACTTGATCTCCTTCTCATGCATACCTGTAGTGCGTCACAGTGCATGCATTTTCCTATGGCATTTCCCCGTTGAAGCTCGGCGTCCATTGACTTCAATGGGGCTGCTTTGAACAGTTTTTTTCAGTGCTGTTAAACTAGACGGTCATTGGATAAATGCTGCGATTATGTCCCGCCCACGGACGCCGGGCGTCTCTGGGGTGAATAGAGAAGTGGGCTGGCCTGGCGTCCGGGCGTCCGCGTGATGATTGGAGGATTGCATCTCCTTTTGATTGACAGCGATTTCACCCAAAAAAAAAGCGCTGATGCGAAAGCTAGTTTAAAGATTTCGTGCTCAGTCTCGTCGCGAATTTTGTGTGTATTTTACTCGAAAGACGAACTGCTATTTCTTAGTATTTGCAATTTTCATCAGATATTTCACAGCTCAACCTAATTCCCACATCTCTTCCGTCGATGTCAGGTGTCTTGTTACATGTGCGGGCGTGGTGTTTGAATCACGGCGCATCTGTCTAGTTTGGTTTCACTTTTGTGTTGGGATTCGGACATGCATTCTTCGCGTGTTTGTTTTCGGTTGTGAGTGCACAGGATGACTTTATGGTCGTACTCATGCGTAACGTTAGCGTTCTGTCTTGTCGTGTTCGCTCTGTTCAGTGTGTTGTGTATTGTGTGGCACATGGTTTGTGTTTACATCGGCCGCGTGCTTTCATGTCATGTTTTGTCTTGTGCTGTGTAGCACACAGCTTGTGTTTTAAACTAGCTGTGTGCTTTCATGTTGTCATGTTCTGTGTGAACACGTGTCTTATGAGTGTTCTCATCGTTCTTCAGGTCTCATTTTGTGTGAGCACAACTGCTTTTTAATTTGTTTTATTGGTCATGTGTTTTTGTCATGTTTGGTATGAGCACGGCTTGTGCTTGTCATGTGTTTGTTGTGCCATGTGTGCTTTCCTGTCATTGTGTCGACTCCCATCTTGTTTCCTGATTATTAGTTATTTTGCCCCACCTGTCCTCCCTCGTTACCTGCCTTTTTTGCTCCCAATTTATTCCCCTTGTTTGTTTTTTGTTTTTTTATCAATAAAATAAAGCCCATCAACTCTGCATCGCGTCCTCGCTCTTTTCACCATCCCCACACCTGACAGTCGAGTTTAAAAAAAAAGAAAAAGAAAAAAGAGCTTCCCCTCTTTGAAAGACCAGCAGCCACTGATATATATATACACTCACCGGCCACTTTATTAGGTACACCTGTCCAACTGCTCGTTAACACTTAATTTCTAAGCAGCCAATCACATGGCGGCAACTCAGTGCATTTAGGCATGTAGACATGGTCAAGACAATCTCCTGCAGTTCAAACCGAGCATCAGTATGGGGAAGAAAGGTGATTTGAGTGACTTTGAACGTGGCATGATTGTTGGTGCCAGAAGGGCTGGTCTGAGTATTTCAGAAACTGCTAATCTACTGGGATTTTCACGCACAACCATCTCTAGGGTTTACAGAGAATGGTCCGAAAAAGAAAAAAACATCCAGTGAGCGGCAGTTCTGTGGGCAGAAATGCCTTGTTGATGCCAGAGGTCAGAGGAGAATGGCCAGACTGGTTCGAGCTGATAGAAGGGCAACAGTGACTCAAATAACCACCCGTTACAACCAAGGTGGGCAGAAGAGCATCTCTGAACGCACAGTACGTCGAACTTTGAGGCAGATGGGCTACAGCAGCAGAAGACCACACCGGGTGCCACTCCTTTCAGCTAAGAACAGGAAACTGAGGCTACAATTTGCACAAGCTCTTTGAAATTGGACAATAGAAGATTGGAAAAAAATTGCCTGGTCTGATGAGTCTCGATTTCTGCTGCGACATTCGGATGGTAGGGTCAGAATTTGGCGTCTACAACATGAAAGCATGGATCCATCCTGCCTTGTATCAACGGTTCAGGCTGGTGGTGGTGGTGTCATGGTGTGGGGAATATTTTCTTGGCACTCTTTGGGCCCCTTGGTACCAATTGAGCATCGTTGCAACGCCACAGCCTACCTGAGTATTGTTGCTGACCATGTCCATCCCTTTATGACCACAATGTACCCAACTTCTGATGGCTACTTTCAGCAGGATAATGCGCCATGTCATAAAGCTGGAATCATCTCAGACTGGTTTCTTGAACATGACAATGAGTTCGCTGTACTCAAATGGCCTCCACAGTCACCAGATCTCAATCCAATAGAGCATCTTTGGGATGTGGTGGAACGGGAGATTCGCATCATGGATGTGCAGCCGACAAATCTGCGGCAACTGTGTGATGCCATCATGTCAATATGGACCAAACTCCCTGAGGAATGCTTCCAGCACCTTGTTGAATCTATGCCACGAAGAATTGAGGCAGTTCTGAAGGCAAAAGGGGGTCCAACCCGTTACTAGCATGGGGTACCTAATAAAGTGGCCGGTGAGTGTATATATATATATATATATATATATATTGTCTCTAGCGTTATATTTTGCCAATGAACTAAAATCGAAACCATTATATGGCTTTTTGCCTTCATAAAACAGCAAAAGACTTTAAGAATAGGCATTCTGTGTGCACAATATAGACAGATTAATAGAAACAACAGAAGAGAAATTAATATTTTTAAATAAAAATCTATAAGAAAGTGAGACATTGTGGCTTGATTTGTTTTATTGATATTAATTTTTCATGACCAAAATAACATTATGCAATGTGAAGAGACTACAGGTTACAAGCATCATATATTTAAAAAATACAATAATAAAAAAACACATTGTTGTAAAGGTTGTTTCAGATCAACACCTGCAATTGACCACTAGGTGTCACCATGGAGACGGGTGTCGGATTGATTCGAAGCCTCGAATCAATATAGCACATTTGCTTCAACTGTTTCATTGCTTCACAAAGCCTCGATCTGCCCATCACTACCAAGCTATAAAGTTAATGAGTGAAAAGAGAAACAAAGCCAACCATACTTGTGGCGCTACAGTAGACCGATAACCAGGCAGACATCAGGTCGGTGGACAGGTAAACAAGATGCATACCGGTTACATCATTTTTTCAAGATAAAAGTCCCGGTTTATAAAAGGGGCGCAGCCCTCGCGATTGGCTCAAAGTTAACTGCCCAGAACCACTCACAGCTGCAGCAAATTAAGCGTCCCTTAGGGAGGCATGAGCCAGACAACTGCATCCTGCTACATACAGCAAATTCTTTGATAAAGTCTGTATGGTGCCCTGTATACAGTAGCCAGCACAAATATCAAAAGGGATTTATCATTTACAATAGTGTTACATCAAGCACCAACACTTTGAGTATAAATTATTATATTTGAAACCAGACATCTCAGTAATTCTATATAAATTGTAAATGTATATAAAATCTATATAAAATATTGTAAATTGTAAACTCATATAAAGTAAATGTAATTGTCTAGTTTTAGCCAGGTTTCTGTCAAAGTACAGCACATTGTGATCTGTAATCACATCATTAACAATAAATGCTTTTGAAGAAAGGGATCAAATATTCAGCAACCCAAGCATTTGTTCATCCGTATTATTTCTGTTTTTTATTTTTTATTTTTTTGTGATATTGTTATTAACTGTGTTATGCAATTGTGTGCCCTATCATCATGAATCCATAAATGTACCACAACTTTTCATACACGCAAGTCATTTCCTATATAGCTGTGCTTGCTTTTCTCCACACTCTCCTCTGTCTCACACAATGAAATAATTTACTCTTAAATCAACACCCCATGTCCATTTGTTTGTTGTTTGGTAATCAGCTGATCGTCCTGGGATCGGTATCATCCTGTTGGCTAAAGCCTGGATGATTGTACATTATCCCTTCTAAAGTCCTCAAGCAGTTCATTTCATGATTTTTTTTTGATGGGGTTGTGTTATATTTCAGTCACACGAGTAATGAGATTATGATCAGGGAATAAAAACTATTAAAAACACAATTCAGAAGCTAAAATGAAAGACATAGTGGGACGGTCGTATCCATAAAATCTCTTTATTATTATTTATATTTTTGAGAAATAATGTCATAAACAGAATAAAAGCTCTCTGTTTATGCTTTCAAACATCTAAGGGCATCACACATATTAGTGCAGTCTGTCACTTCGGCGTTAAAGAATTCATAGCTTGTTTTTATACTGGCTGTTTGTGGTGTTCCCGCCGTGAGGAAACATTTGTTTACTGAAGCGTTTGGATCATCCCTCAGGGCCATAGCCAGCATGGATTTGTGAATTTACACACTGCCATTGCAACGGGTTGCTGTTTAAACAAACTGTCTTTAAAACACATCTGAGTTCCAACCATTCACAATTTAATAGGTTCTTAGCCATCTGTAGACATATTAGCTGCTCTCACATTGTTTCTGTGGTATTTTCATGTACTGTGTGTGTGTGTGTGTGTGTGTACAGGTTTATATTACAGTAAACCAATTTACCACCCCACAAGGAGAGTAAAACCAGAGATTACCTACATTGTGGGGACCAGCCAGCGGTCACCACGGTGGAAATTCATTCATAAACATACTAAGGATGTTTTTTTGGAAATGGAAAAATGTAGAATGTTTTCTGTGATTGGTAGGGTTAGTGTGAGGGGATGGAATAGTTTGTACAGTATAAAAACCATGCCTATGGAGAATCCCTACAAAGATAGCAAAATCCAGTGTGTGTGTGTGTGTGTGTGTGTGTGTTTATCCTTACTATGTAGTGAGCAAAGTATCTGGCAGCTGTAATGCTAATGGCCGAGTGCATGAACTTTATTCATTAAATTAATTCAAAATTTTATTGTCATAGGAAACGTCTCAGTTACGGATGTAACCCTCGTTCCCGGAGCAGGGAACGGAGTCGTTACGTTGTGATGACGAATGGTGTTTTCCTTAGTATTACAAAACGAGCCAATGGCAAAGACATGTCATGAGTCTGCGGATTATGCATTAGCGTGACTCCGCCCCTCCTTTAGGGTATATAAGGAAGTACGCTGGCAACATGCAATTTTGTTACTTGCTGAGGAGCCAAGACTGAACTCAGGCTATTCCAGCGGTACAGTGAAAGTGGCATGGAGACGTAACCATTCGTATTCACTACAAACGGGGTTCCAAGTCTAATCACGCCACTCAGCTGTATTCCAGTGGCCTGCATAATTCTGAGCTCCCTGTCGTGAGACTAGCACTGACAAAAGACTCCTACTTAACACAGGAATACCAAGGCACACTGGGAAGCATATTTCAGTGGAAATATGCAATTATTGCCTGCCTGAAGGGGGGTAGACTTACAGAATACACATATGACCTTGGAGGGGTCTGCATATGGAATACACTGAGGTGTCCAGCCCGCAGGGTGGAATGTTTCAACCTCAGGGGTGGCAAGGTGGCTTGCCAAGGGAAAGACTCAGAGAGGCCTACAGTGGAAATTCTGTGGGGTCACCCCGAGGGGTAACCATGCACATGGCAGCCCCTAGCCAATGCAAAAGCTGCCAGTGGCATAACTCTGGTGTTTGATGTCAACAGTGCTGGAGGAACTCAGGGCTTGTTGGGGAAGCTAACCTGAGGAAAATATTGTGCATATCCAGTCCGTGGAGTGGAATGGCAAGCAAGCGAAGACACCTGAGCAGATTCTATTACCAGCTGGTTGAAGCGAGTACATGAGAGGACACTGGCTCCACTCAGAGATAGTAGAATCTGGCGAATGTGTAGGGTGTCTCCCAGCTTGCAGCTCTGCAGATGTCTGTTAGCGAGGTGCCATGTGCTAGAGCCCAAGAGAAAGCCACATTCCAAGAGGAGTGGGCCTTCCCACAAGAGGGGAACGGTTGACCTTTCTGCTGGTATGCCAAGCAATGGTGTCCACTAACCAGTGAGACAACTTCTGCTTGGAGAGAGCCTTTTCGCAAGCACGGAGGGTGCGTACTGGACAGAACAGTGCCAAGGCTGGGTCTGCCTCCTCTAAGGGCAGCGCTTGCAGGTTCACCACCTGATCTCGAAAGGGAGTGGTGAGAACCTTGGGCACACATCCAGACCTGGGTCTAAGGATCAAGTGAGAATTGGCTGGCACGAATTCCAGGCACGCTTTGTCAATGGAAAATGTGGATCACTGTCTTAACTGACAGGAACTTAAGCTCCACTGATTGCAGAGGCTCAAGGGGAGCACTCTGCAGGGCAGTTAAAACCCCTGAGAGGTCCCAAGAGGTGACAAGAGGAGGGAACCTGATGATCAGATTGTGCTTTCCCAAAGACTTACCATCGACTGCGTTTTTAAGTGTGGCAATAGCAGCAATATAGACTTTCAGGTGGAGGGAGATCGCCTTCGCTCCAGTCCATCTTGCAGGAAGGAAGGCACGACACTGATCAGGCATTTTCTGGGGTCTTCTCTGTGAGAACAGAGGTCTGGGGTCTTCTCTGTTGATGAACAGGTTCCACTTCAGCACGTAGGCTTGTAGTCACCATTCTTCAGGAAGAGGCTAAAACTGTGAAAGCTCATTGGCTGCACAATTCACTCTTTCCAGAATATAATGGCTCAAAGCACCCTCAGAGGCTTCTGACTCCATAAGAGGATGTGGCAGGCGAGTTGCAACATACAGCGGGAGCGTAGACCACCTTGTCATTTAATGTACGCTACTGTCACAGTATTGTCTGATCAGACTAGTACGTGCTGGTTCTTGAGCAATGCATGGAAGCGGTGCAGAGTGAGACGTACCGCCAGCAACTCGGCTATCGACATGCCAAAAAGCATCATGTCAGCATGTCCATTGCACATGGTACCCCAGCCTGTGGGGGAGGCATCTGTTGATTCAACAATATGCCTGGAAACTCGTTCTAAGGGCACTCTCATAGAAAGAATATAGCCTATAGAAAGCTGTGATTCGTCTACAGGGTGAAAGTCTGGTGGCAGATCGGAGTTACTGGTACTCGAAGCGTGCCTTGTTGCCATGCCCAATGGTCTAATTAGAAGCAATCTGAACAGCGTTGCTGCAGCTGCCATATGCCTCAGGAGCCTCTGTCAAATTTCAGTGTAACAGCACTCTTGCCCTTGAATTGTCTCATGCAAGTCAGCAGTAACTGCGCCCTTGCTCGTAAGCGACCGAGTCGATTTTCATATGGGGAAAATAGATCCTCTGCATGGAAAAAAGTTTTCTCTTCTCCCAGTTGACTCGAAACCCAGAGCTAGGTGCCAGAGCACTAGGTCCCTGTGTTTGCAAACCTGAGCTAGGATCATCTAGTCGTCAATATAAATCAGAATACGATCCCCGTGTTACCATCGACGACTTTCCTGAAGGCGCGAATACACAGGGCTAGCCCAAATGAGAGAAACGCTTACTTGTATGTCCGCCTCTTGAAAACAAACCGAGGGAGGAGGAAGAAATGATACATGGAAGTAGGGATCCTTCAGGTCGGTCACTGCAAAGCAATTCTGTGGCTGCACACATTTGAAAATGCGTTTGGCTGTGAGCATCTTGAACAGAAGCCTTTTTAGAAGGGAACAGTTCAAGACATGCAAGTCCAGGATCGGTCGAACCCACCGTTTTTCTTGGGTACAATGAGGTCGGGGCTTAAGACGCCAGACTTCTTTTCGGCTAGAGGGGTGGTCTCGATTGTACCCTTCGCCAGTAGGATGACGACCTCCTTACGTATGACAGGCATTGCCACCCACCACAGTAAAGCAGATTCCCAGGGGAGGGGAGGACACCGTGCAAACTGAATCGCATAGCAGAGCCTGATGATTCTCGTGAGCCAGCAGGACAGATAGGAACCAACGGGGACATGTGAACCATAGACATACCCACGATGGGGAAGTGAGGCGGAATGTCCAGCCCAACATGGGAGGTGGAGCGTGCCAATGTGGGATCCCAGTCATATGCCGCATTCTGACAGCGGGAGGCCAGGGAAGGGCCAGCATTACATGGGGGCCTGCTCTGTCAGGTGTCTGGCGACAGAGGGGAACGAGACTGTTGAGGCTTGTAAGCGGCGCGCACTGCCATCCACACCCTCTGGGGGCTCAGAGATGGGAATGTCAGTTCTTTGGAGAAGAAGTTATCCCCAGGCC